TGTCCAAAGGCTATTCATTAAAGAAAATATTCTTTCCGTAGAAGCATTTGTGCCAGGCAGGCAGAAAAAGAACTCTGCTAATTTTCGTAAAATTCTACTTGAAATATATTTAAAATAAATATTGAAAATAAGAACCATTTCAAAAATTCCGGACAATCCGGGACAAAAAACCTGAATCCAGGACAAATATTGCTTCTAGAAAAATCCGGGACGCAAGGTGGAAATCCGGGACGTATGGTCACCTTATTAAAGGTGTATCTTTGGAACGCGGCGCTCTACGGGTGCGAAACATGGACAGTGGGGGCGGCAGAAAATGTGATGTTACAAGCGAATGATAAGTATACCGTGGTGTTAGAAAGACTAGGAGAACAGAGGAATCTATGGAAGTCAATAAGAATTAGGCGAGATAGGAGACCTTCTTAGGCATAAAGTTCTAGTCAGAGACATATTATAGGCAGAAACGGAAGTTAGGAGGGGTAAAGGTAGACTAGATTAGATTACTGTTCGCAAATAGTTAAGGATGTGGGTTCTAGTTTTAGGGAAATGCGAAGATTAACCTGAGTTAATCCTATTCTATATCCTATCTATCTATTCTATCTATCTATACCTATCCTATTCTATATCCTATTCCTATCCTGAGATAGGAAAGAGTGCAAGTGCGTGTCCAACCAGTCTTAGGACTGACGACCTTATGATGATTATGGTTAAAGTGTTTCAGTTTCTTCACATTTTTCGTTTCATTTTTTTCATTAGGGGTCCAAAGTTTCTTCCAGAGCGGAATTTCTCGTCATCGTTTTTGACATGGTCGGTGTGGTAAACGTTTCCTGATGATGGAAATGAATCTCGCCGTTCGGCGTTCGGTTCACGCAATGCGCGACCCACATGCAAATCCTGATCCCAGCGGGCGCGCCTTCTTGTTCTTAGTCCAAATCCTGTCGTTGATGTATAGTTTTATAAATATAAATGAAACCACGGCACCTGCAAGCCGCAAACGGCCGCACTCCTTATGAATGTGTTGCCGTCATCTTTATTCTTTTACTTCTACTTTTCTTGTTATGCTTTCGTTGCTGTTTTACTAGCGGTCGGTTTCCTCTGATGCCGCTAACATGGAAAATTCTTTTCCATTTAATTCACTTACGACTCGGCCGTTTTAAAAAATGTTTCTTTTTTATTGGCACCTGAGCATTTATTATTCCTTATCCAAATTCTTATGTCAAAGAATCTTTGGTATTAAAAAGAAATTTTTAAATGAGACATTCAGAACAATCGTCCTATAGCCCAACAATTACATGTGGCATCAAACAAAAGATAATCAAAATAATAGACTAACAATGACGAAGTAATTGAAATTAAATAAACACTAAACAGTAGACCGAAATAATTAAACAAACAAAATCCACAATATACAATAGATAAAACAAAACAATCAATTAACAATTAGGTAGTAAATAAAGTAATAAAAATTCAGATTAATCGATTAATGAAATTAATGATTGATAAAAAACAGAAATAATTGGAGACAACAAGTACATACAATTACCTATTTTGTTATTAAGAATATTTTTTAAAATATGTCAAAGGTATATTCCTTAGTATCAGTAATTGTGTTTAAACACCTACTGGAAGAACATGCAAACGTTAGTTAATTAATCTGCAGGGGTTGTAGTGAAAAATCTCGCCTCGCTTTTCCGAATTTTCCTTTCTAAAAGAAGAAAACTGTACTATCGCCTCTAACACAGTTATCGATCCACCTCGAAAGAATGGGAAAATGGTCGCATGATGGCTCTTGTATCAAATTTTTCTCCTACTTTGTAAAACTTTTCTATAATTTTTATTGAATCAGGCTTTCAATAATAAATTTTTCATAAACAGAAAAAAATTACAAATTGGTTTAATAAGTTTAATACATAAGTACATTGAAAATACCTGCAGAGAAAATAAATAAATTTTCATGACGACTTGACATCAGTCCTGCTAATGTTATTTTTTACATTTGACTGAACATAACTAACAAGCGTTCTGAAGCATTTAATATGTCTACATGTTACAAATTGCTAATAAGAAGATTTTATCGAAATACGCGACAGAATGGTGTAGTCTTCTGGTAACGAGCAGCAATCTAATTTTTTTCGACTTCTTTTTTCTTTCTTATTATTCCTTCCTTTTATTTTTTGACACTAACAAGGTGTTGCAACGGTTACACTAACAGGTTTCTCAGATTATTAAGTTGTTAAAGAAACATTACGAGGCTGGAAACTTGCGATCTCTGATACAGATACTTATAGGGGTTATTCAAAAAATCCAAGTCAAATTGTTTACTTGGTTCTTTAACTCATTCTGAAGTATATTTTTATATCACTAAATAGTATAAAACAAAGTCGCTTTCCCGCTGTCTGTCCCTATGTATGCTTAAATCATTAAAACTACGCGACGGATTTTGATGCGGTTTTTTTTAAAAGACACAGTGATTCAAGAGGAAAGTTTATATGTATAATACATGCATAATATAGTAGGGAAACACTGATAATTTTAGAGATTTCTAATGTGATGTCGTAAATAAACACATTTTTTGCGCTTACATTGCAAACGCTGGCTGAACCCTACGAGATAGATCAAAATAATGTACTACAATATTGTACATCTTAAAAGGGTCTACAAAAAAGTCCG